GCCAAACAATTGTGTCTTCAAGGCACAGCAGCAATAGCCATATTGTCAAATGCTAGGGAAGGTACCAAGTCTTTGCTGTCAAATGAAAGTCTAACTAGAGGGGCAATGAGATTTGAAATCACAACCCAAAGTTTTCAAAACCAGTGGTCTAACCCCTGAGTAACAAATTACACTCTCTGACGGCTTCACCTTTGAAATTTAAAAAAATATCACTTCGGTCTCAAGTTAGAATTCTGTGGTGTCAAAACAGGTCTTACAAAAGGCTCCAGTGAGTTTTGAACTCACGACCCCTGGTTTACAAGACTAGTGCTCTTACCACTGAGCTATGTAGTCAGACATTGTGTTTAATTTAAATATTTTCTACAATTATCTCAACAAGGCACATTAGCTCAAAAGTACAATGGTTATTGTGTCCAATGCTCAGGAGGGAAGAGGTCTTTGGTCTCAAAACAAGGGCTAAGTTGATCATTAGTGAGACTTGATTTCTTAGCCCATTATTTACAAGACCAGGGAGCTAACCACTGAACTATGGAACCACATAATTACATCAACAAGGCACTGCAGCTTAAAAGCCTAAGAGCCATTGTGTCCAATGTTACGGAGGCTGAGAGGACTTTGGTGTCAAAAGACTTACAAGAGTGTGAGTGAGATTTGATCTCTCAACCCATGGTCCAAGGTAAGAAGTCTTTGGTGTCAAATCAAAGACTAACTAGGGGGGGGGCAATAAGATTTTAACTCACAACCCAAAGTTTACAAAATCCAGTTTTGCAACCACTAAGCAAGAAACTACACTCTCTGACAGCCTCACATTTAAATTCTAAAAATATCACTTTTGTCTCAACAAGTTAGAATTCTGTGGTGTCAAAACAGGTCTTACAAAAGGCTCCAGTGAGATTTGAACTCACGACCCTGGTTTACAAGACCAGTGCTCTAACCACTGAGCTATGAAGCCAGACATTATGTTTTATTTAAGTATTTTTTACAATTATTTCAACAAGGCACATTAGCTCAAAAGTATAATGGTTATTGTATCCGATGCTCAGGAGGGAAGAAGTCTTTGGTCTCAAAACAAGGGCTATGTTGGTCATTAGTGAGACTTGATTTCTCAGCCAATTATTTACAAAACCAGGGAGCTAACCAGTGAACTATGGAACCACATAATTACATCAACAAGGCACTGCAGCTTAAAAGCCTAATAGCCATTGTGTCCAATGTTAGGGAGGGTGAGAGGTCTTTGGTGTCAAAAAAGGTCTAACTAGTTGATCAGTGAGATTTGAATACAAAACCTATGGTTTACAAGACAAGTGTTCTAACACTGAGCTATGCAACCATTCAATTATATGCACAATGCACAGCAGCTTAAAAGTCTAATAGCCATTGTGTCCAAATGCTAGGGTCTATTAGAGGTCTTAGGTGTCAAAAGTCTAAAAAGTGAGTCAATTTGATTTGAACTTACAACCCATTGTTTAACACACCAGTGATCTAACAACCTAGCTATGGAGCCAAACAATTGTGTCTTCAAGGCACAGCAGCAATAGCCATATTGTCAAATGCTAGGGAAGGTACGAAGTCTTTGCTGTCAAATGAAAGTCTAACTAGAGGGGCAATGAGATTTGAAATCACAACCCAAAGTTTTCAAAACCAGTGTTCTAACCCCTGAGTAACAAATTACACTCTCTGACGGCTTCACCTTTGAAATTTAAAAAATATCACTTTGGTCTCAACAAGTTAGAATTCTGTGGTGTCAAAACAGGTCTTACAAAACACTCCAGTGAGATTTGAACTCACGACCCCTGGTTTACAAGACCAGTGCTCTTACCAGTAAGCTATGTAGTCAGACATTATGGTTATTTTAATTATTTTCTACAATTATCTCAACAAGGCACATTAGCTCAAAAGTACAATGGTTATTGTGTCCAATGCTCAGGAGGGAAGAGGTCTTTGGTCTCAAAACAAGGGCTAAGTTGATCATTAGTGAGACTTGATTTCTCAGCCCATTATTTACAAGACCAGGGAGCTAACCACTGAACTATGGAACCACATAAGTACATCAACAAGGCACTGCAGCTTAAAAGCCTAAGAGCCATTGTGTCCAATGTTAGGAAGGGTGAGAGGTCTTTGGTGTCAAAACTTACAAGAGTGTGAGTGAGATTTGATCTCTCAACCCATGGTCCAAGGTAAGAAGTCTTTGGTGTCAAATCAAAGACTAACTAGGGGGGGGGCATTAAGATTTTAACTCACAACCCAAAGTTTACAAAATCCAGTTTTGCAACCACTAAGCAAGAAACTACACTCTCTGACAGCCTCACATTTAAATTCTAAAAATATCACTTTTGTCTCAACAAGTTAGAATTCTGTGGTGTCAAAACAGGTCTTACAAAAGGCTCCAGTGAGATTTGAACTCACGACCCCTGGTTTACAAGACCAGTGCTCTAACCACTGAGCTATGAAGCCAGACATTATGTTTTATTTAAGTATTTTTTACAATTATTTCAACAAGGCACATTAGCTCAAAAGTACAATGGTTATTGTATCCGATGCTCAGGAGGGAAGAAGTCTTTGGTCTCAAAACAAGGGCTATGTTGGTCATTAGTGAGACTTGATTCCTCAGCCCATTATTTACAAAACCAGGGAGCTAACCAGTGAACTATGGAACCACATAATTACATCAACAAGGCACTGCAGCTTAAAAGCCTAATAGCCATTGTGTCCAATGTGAGGGAGGGTGAGAGGTCTTTGGTGTCAAAAAAGGTCTAACTAGTTGATCAGTGAGATTTGAATACACAGCCTATGGTTTACAAGACAAGTGTTCTAACACTGAGCTATGCAACCATTCAATTATATGCACAATGCACAGCAGCTTAAAAGTCTAATAGCCTTTGTGTCCAAATGCTAGGGTCTATTAGAGGTCTTAGGTGTCAAAAGTCTAAAAAGTGAGTCAATTTGATTTGAACTTACAACCCATTGTTAAACACAACAGTGATCTAACAACCTAGCTATGGAGCCAAACAATTGTGTCTTCAAGGCACAGCAGCAATAGCCATATTGTCAAATGCTAGGGAAGGTACGAAGTCTTTGCTGTCAAATGAAAGTCTAACTAGAGGGGCAATGAGATTTGAAATCACAACCCAAAGTTTTCAAAACCAGTGTTCTAACCCCTGAGTAACAAATTACACTCTCTGACGGCTTCACCTTTGAAATTTAAAAAAATATCACTTTGGTCTCAACAAGTTAGAATTCTGTGGTGTCAAAACAGGTCTTACAAAAGGCTCCAGTGAGATTTGAACTCATGACCCCTGGTTTACAAGACCAGTGCTCTTATCACTAAGCTATGTAGTCAGACATTATGTTTAATTTAAATATTTCTACAATTATCTCAACAAGGCACATTAGCTCAAAAGTACAATGGTTATTGTATCCAATGCTCAGGAGGGAAGAGGTCTTTGGTCTCAAAACAAGGGCTAAGTTGATCATTAGTGAGACTTGATTTCTCAGCCCATTAATTACAAGACCAGGGTGCTAACCACTGAACTATGGAACCACTTAATTACATCAACACGGCACTGCAGCTTAAAAGCCTAATAGCCATTGTGTCCAATGTTAGGGAGGGTGAGAGGTCTTTTTTGTCAAAACAAGGTCTAACTAGTGGATCAGTGAGATTTGAATACCCAACCTATGGTTTACAAGACAAGTGTTCTAACCACTGAGCTATGCAACGATTCAATAATAAGCACAATGCACAATAATATGTCTAATAGCCATTGTGTCCAAATTCTAGGGTCTATTAGAGGTCTTTGGTGTCAAAAGTCTAAAAATTGACTCAATTTGATTTGAACTTACAACCCATTGTTTAACACACCAGTGATCTAACAACCTAGCTATGGAGCCAAACAATTGTGTCTTCAAGGCACAGCAGCAATAGCCATATTGTCAAATGCTAGGGAAGGTACGAAGTCTTTGCTGTCAAATGAAAGTCTAACTAGAGGGGCAATGAGATTTGAAATCACAACCCAAAGTTTTCAAAACCAGTGTTCTAACCCCTGAGTAACAAATTACACTCTCTGACGGCTTCACCTTTGAAATTTAAAAAAATATCACTTCGGTCTCAAGTTAGAATTCTGTGGTGTCAAAACAGGTCTTACAAAAGGCTCCAGTGAGTTTTGAACTCACGACCCCTGGTTTACGAGACCAGTGATCTTACCACTGAGCTATGTAGTCAGACATTGTGTTTACTTTTAATTATTTTCTACAATTATCTCAACAAGGCACATTAGCTCAAAAGTACAATCGTTATTGTGTCCAATGCTCAGGAGGGAAGAGGTCTTTGGTCTCAAAACAAGGGCTAAGTTGATCATTAGTGAGACTTGATTTCTCAGCCCATTATTTACAAGACCAGGGAGCTAACCACTGAACTATGGAACCACATAATTACATCAACAAGGCACTGCAGCTTAAAAGCCTAATAGCCATTGTGTCCAATGTTAGGGAGGGTGAGAGGTCTTTGGTGTCAAAACAAGGTCTAACTAGTGGATCAGTGAGATTTGAATACCCAACCTATGGTTTACAAGACAAGTGTTCTAACCACTGAGCTATGCAACGATTCAATAATATGCACAATGCACAATAATATGTCTAATAGCCATTGTGTCCAAATGCTAGGGTCTATTAGAAATCTTTGGTGTCAAAAGTCTAAAAATTGACTCATTTTGATTTGAACTTACAACCCATTGTTTAACACACCAGTGATCTAACAACCTAGCTATGGAGCCAAACAATTGTGTCTTCAAGGCACAACAGCAATAGCCATATTGTC